TGTGATCAGTTCATCTATCGAGGGTGAGTTATTTCTTCCGAATACCATTCGACGTACTTCAGCATTGCTGATCCGGTGTTCCCACCAGATTCGGGCAATGCTCCGAAGATATCGATGGTCAAACACTGAAAGTCTTTTGACGTCCTCGGTGCGCAGCGGCCAGGTTTCAGATCCATATAGTAATATGGAGCGCACCGCAGCATTGTAAACTCGACCCTTGACAGAGAAGCTGATGTCACGCCTACGCCACAGGTGACGTAGGTTCGCAAAAGCTGCTCTGGGTTTGGTTGAGGTACCCCACCTTGAGCCTTTGACTCAAAAGTCTGACCCACGAGGCAGTGGGAAAATGTAGGGTTTTCTTTGGGGACCCTACCCGGAGCCGACGACTCACCAGTCTAACCTGCTCGGCTGCAGGGGGTTGGCCTAACCCGAGGGCCCAGGGAATAAGGCATTACTGTCTCATTCCTGATACGGCTGCGTGCAGCAGGTGCCTTTTGAGCAGCACCAGGCTCTTTGGTTTTAAAAGTATTTCGACCGTATTGGATAATGCGCCGGCGGTCACGGTCAACCGTTGGGCGACCGGAGTGTGCGGTTTTTGGGGCCGACCTTTTTTAACCCGTCCTTCCTCGGGGGAAGGCAGCATCGCTGCTTCCATAAATATGGACATGCTGGTCGCCTGGGGGAAACACCTTACTGCCTTCACACTCCTGTCGCAGAGGACAGTACGACTTTACCCCCAGACCGCCTCGTACCACGATTACTCGTAGTGCGGGGTCTCGCTGTTCTTGGTCTGGCTGCTCTCCTTTGGCCTTCCTCGCATGGTTAGACCTTGTGGAAGGAAGTTCCAGCCAGTGTAGCCCGCGGGATCATTGCAGCACTGAAGCCCGACCACCACGTCAAGGTGGCAGCTTTAGGTCGAGGAGACCCAGTAAGATACCCTTCTGATGCCAAAAGGGGCACAAATTGGCAAACGCAGTTCTGAGTCTCGAGATTAATCCGTTCTCTTCATCTGTCAAACTACCGTTAGAGCTAATTCGGCTTCCAAGATATGTATAGTGTATATGATCCAAGTGGTTAGAGCGTGAATTTACTAACCGGAAGGTTCGTGGTTCGAACCCGACCTCTGCCTCTCGACTTCCTCTGTTTGGGCTTGGGCTACCTGGCAGTACCCCAGCCCTCGCACAACCTACGGGTGGAATGGTAGCTGGGCGCCGAAAGGGTGCTACAGCTGAACGATTTCTATTTTTTTAATAGTGTTTCACAACCTTCAGTGTCACTTCCTGAATTCTTAAAAGCTTATTCAAAGACCGTACGTCCTGCACTTGGTGGTCGCAAAGTACATGCCGAAAGACTGGATGACCTTGGTAAGTCTTTCTTTCTAGTATTGTTTGCGCTTCCCGTCCACTTGCAAAAATTAGAAAAATGTCGTCTGCATATTCCAGGTAAGCAAGTTTCGCGCTACGAGAGATCTGAACACCAGAATTTTGAAGACCTTCAAGTGTCCGCCCCGCTACCTCACCAGTAACGAAATTAAACAAAAATAGAGTGGGTATCGTTGTTAGGCAGCACTTTCTGTAGAAAAGCTTTTGGAGGGCCCCTATACACTCACTAGTCTACAAGTATGTGAACACAAACAGTGCAAGATATTCACTAACTTCTGAGGCATACCCTGTTGCGCAAAGGCGTTGGAAACAAACATGTCGATAGAGTCGGACGTTGTTGAAATCAGGGAACAACAAGACCGCAGGACGCCTATATGCACGTCATTACTCTAACACTTGACAGGGTGCGATGGTATTCGAAAAGACTATAAGGGACTTTTCCCCATTGTATTCGGAAAGCTAGGTTACTCCAGGTTGCCAGACAGCTTCAAACACGTCTCACAAGTTCTGAACTTCCTTCAGAGATGCTTGGTTCCCCAGCACACACAATCAGGGAACACGAGAATCACCCTACACAGTTCCGGGTCGGGTTGAGCCGCACCCCCGTTTCATGCTTCAACCCGCCCTCACATTTCCACTCCATCGTTGCACCACAAAATATCCTAAGGATTGGGAAAAAGATTATAGCTGCGAGCGCAAGTGAGCAGTAGTCAAACACTAGGCGGCTAAGTTGAAAAGTGGTAGTGCCAAGGTATACTGTGTTATAACAATGTGAAACGCAAGAAGTCCACTTACCTTCTTTCCAAAGTGATCTTCGACAACTAGCTCATCTCTTCTGACTATTGGGTACGATATAGCCATTCTTCAGAATGTAAGAACGTGCTAATGGAAAGCAATCCACTGAAAACTGAAGTGTAAAAATGACGCAATAAATGAAAACAAGCCTTTAGGTATGAAGTGCTTAGGATCATGTCGCTGGGGGTGAGATGTACGAAGTTGTTAGAGCGCGAATTTAGTGAGCGGAAGGTCCGTGGTTCCAGCCCGAACTCTGTCTGTCCACTTCCCCTGTCTAGGCTTGGGCAACCTGGCAGTACTCCAGCCCTCGCGCCTCCTTCGTGTGGCATGGCAGCTAGGTACCGGAAGAGTATTACAGCTGAACGATCATGTCGCGGGGAAAAACGTCACTTTCCATCACACAAATATCAAAGATACATCCCGTTGTTGTTCAACCTGGATGACTGAGAAGTGAAAAACACAGGTTTCGTCGATTTCACCACTTCTTACGTAAGGCATATGATGCGCCCAATTAGTGCACCGTTATTTGGTACAAAAAGGTCACAATCGTTCAGCTGTAAAAGGAAAAGAAAGCGTTCAGCTGTAGCACCCTTTCGGTGCCTAGCTGCCATGCTGCATGAAGGAGGCACGAGGGCTGGGATACTACTAGGTTGCCCAAGCCTAGATAGAAGTGGAGAGGCAGAGGTCGGGTTCGAACCACGGATCTTCCGGTCAGTAAATTCGCACTTGGTCCATCTCGCCCCAAATGAGAATTATTTAGTACGATTCTCATCCGGACTGTTATAACCGTAGGTCACAAGTCAGAAATCTATCACAACATGTAATGCATGGCGAACGCAAGAATGAACAGTCAAGTCGAACTAGTAGTACACCATAAGCCATCTAATACCTCCTCGTTTGATGCATGGTTAACGTAGTTAGCAGCCTCCATCGTTTGTAGTCATCCCGCTCTAATCAGCTGACTCACCAGAAATTCGAGTACACCCCCCCCCTATGTGTCGACCTGCATTTCAGATCGAGCTGCATTTTTTTCTTCAAGGTTCATTATTTGATTGCTGGTTTGGTTTCCTATCTAGGCCAATCAAATCATTGTGTTTTGAACTCAACTGTGCAGACATTGCATGAAAAAATTTTTGGGTTCGAATTTCCTAGTCACTTCTCGTAGGTTTCTCGGAAGACCCTCGTGTTTTCGCCCTCCAGTAGCACTGAACCACATGGCCAGGCCCCGTTACTAGCAGCAATAAATACGCATACGAGCNAAGGTTCATTATTTGATTGCTGGTTTGGTTTCCTATCTAGGCCAATCAAATCATTGTGTTTTGAACTCAACTGTGCAGACATTGCATGAAAAAATTTTTGGGTTCGAATTTCCTAGTCACTTCTCGTAGGTTTCTCCGAAGAGCCTCGTGTTTTCGCCCTCCAGTAGCACTGAACCACATGGCCAGGCCCCGTTACTAGCAGCAATAAATACGCATACGAGCAGTTCGTCAGGTATTTGAGGATAAACTTGGACAGCTTATGTATACTCTGAAAAACCGGGAGCGAGATTAGTCCCTGCATGACTGTCACTGAAAACTAAAGCTTGCTGTCCTCGACAGATGAACCCAGTTGGTTGCAAAAACGCGTGCGCGGCCATCCGGAAAACAGGCCACACGGTGATATCCGCAACTGTTCAGCAAAAAATCAATTAGTCAGCTATAAATCGTGTACCAAAGACAGACTGGTTCCAGATGCTACCGTTTCGATCACCAGGAAGTGTGAGATATACAGCCAAGCCTTGGAGGCGATTGCAAGTTTGGTTAGTTCGGGAACTGGGTGGCTGCGCACTGAAGGCTAGAGCCTTGATGCACGAGCGCCAATGACCGCGTGATTGGGTCATTTCCGGCTGTCGTAACCATTGGTACGTTTAGTCTCGCGGTCCCCATCCAGGGAGGCGGCAGTTGTCAACCCGGCCCAGTATATTGATTAGTGTTTTCATACTACGTTGTCAGGTCATACACTGTCCACCTCTTACACACCATCACTCAGCAGAGAGCTGAGCGAAAAGAGCTGTGATACAAACGGTCTTCTTCAAAGTGTAGTGCATGTACTAACCAGCGTAACATATGAAGCGTCGGTAATTCACCTATTGTGGCCGAGTTCCCTTTTCCCAGGAACACCTGGCGCACCTCAGCACCATTAACCTGGTGTTCACACCAGATTGACCAATGCTTCAGAGACACCGATGGTGCAACATTAACACCTTTTGTACGTGCACTGCGCGTTAAGGCCGCATCTCTGACCAATGAAACAGTGTGGACCACGCTGTCGCACTGTAAACATTGCCCTTGATAGACAACCTCATGTCACGCCGCAGGGGATCGGAGGTTGGCAATAGCTGTCTGACTTTTCCGACCCAAGAAGTAATCTCATCTCCAGCCAGTCCGTTTAGACTTATACACCTACCCAGGTGAACAAATTTATCCACCACGTCCATTGGCTCCTCCAGAATAACGAGGCTTCCGTTTGGTCTCACCAGTCTTACATGGGTACCTTACATTTTGCAGGTGTGAAGCGCATACCAAACCATGCGACAGAGTTCTCTAGGTTATTTAAGATGGTTTGCATTTTTGAAGAAACTGAACCAAAGGTGGCAATAACGTCATAACGCTCACCACCGTCTGAAACGGTGGAGGGACTGATCAGTGCAACTACCGTGCAAAAAAGGTAAACCTTAAGCTAGCGTAGATATCCTCCTTGAATCTAATAAGAGTCAAGTTTGTGGAGCAAGGAGAACGCCGTTTCTTTGGCAGTTTATTACGTAGTAGGTAGCACCATTTTTTCCCTCACGAGGCTCATTATCTCGGCCTCATACCAAACGACAGAGTTCTCTAGGTTATTTAAGATGGTTTGCATTTTTGAAGAAACTGAACCAAAGGTGGCAATAACGTCATAACGCTCACCACCGTCTGAAACGGTGGAGGGACTGATCAGTGCAACTACCGTGCAAAAAAGGTAAACCTTAAGCTAGCGTAGATATCCTCCTTGAATCTAATAAGAGTCAAGTTTGTGGAGCAAGGAGAATGCCGTTTCTTTGGCAGTTTATTACGTAGTAGGTAGCACCATTTTTTCCCTCACGAGGCTCATTATCTCGGCCTGATTTCGTATGTCCATCTGGCAGATTTTTATTCACGGCGGCTCCACGTCCAGCGAAATGACCGCTTGTCTTCGAAATCTGTAGTTATCTTTCTAAAGAATAGTTTGCACCTCATTCCAAGAAGTCACCAGATCGTTTCAAGCAGCTTCTGGTTTGTTTGACTGCATGCGGGCTTCTCTGGAGCAAACGCTGCACCGGCTTCATGAATCTTCTGGACAATGGTCCTGAATATCTCTTCTAGTGAAGCTGGTCCCAGTTTAAGCTGGTCAGGAAAGATAGGAATTCTTGAGGAGTCTGCGCTGCAGGAGTTTCGATTATTAGATTAAATATTAGTCGTTCAGCTGTAGCACCTAATCGGTATCTGGCTGCCATGCCACGCGTAGGAAGACACCATCAGGTTGCCCAAACCTAGATAAGAACAGTCGAAATGCCAAAGTGGAGTTCGAAACGCAGACCTTCCGGTCAGTAAGTTAGTGGCCTAACTACTGAGCTATCTCTAGTTTCGATTCCACGTTTGAAGTCCCGGGTTTCTAGTCCAGTGGAAGATAAAGTCAAAAGTCAGCAGAGTGGCTGCTATGTCCCATGGGAGCCTCATCTGCCACTCGACCAGCGAGGTATCTTTCATTGGTGGTAACCCGATCCAGCAGGGACAGCCATTGGCCCGTGCGATATTTGGTGGAACTGCCACATGCCAAGTCCAAGCGCTCAGTTGAACAACTTTAGCATCAATGCGAAATGTCCTCGAGACCCGACATGCTATAGCTCTCAAGGCTTCGGTCACCTACTGGTAAAAGACGTGAAGTGGTGTCTGCAGGAGAGTTGCTTGAAGGTGTATATATGTGGGAGGCTGTCTTTCGGTGGAATTGGGAGGACGGAAGCGGTAGGCAGCGCCGCGAAGCGAAACGGTCTCAAAAGGAGCAATTTGAATCAAGAGTGGATAAAAGGGCTCAGGAGTGATGTCGGAGAAAGAAATCTGTGTGCTGTACTTAAGTATACATCAACTACACGTCCCCCAGCCGGTTTTTGATGTATCCCAGAAAATGAAGTAACTGGTCGTTGTGACTTGGTGAACGATAGTGCAACTCTATCGGTCCTTGGCCTCCTGCTCCGCCAACTATGGTATACCAAAAGGCACGGTAGCTCTAGACAACCTTCAAGGAGACAAAGAGAAATTATTACGACTGTATTCATAGGGTAATCACAGGATGTTCCACAGGGTCGCGCTAGAACCTCCGTGACGGGGCGAGGGGTGTCGAGCTTAAGATACTCGATTCAGATTGGCTGACATTCTGATCAATCAGGGCATGCCTTCGTTCGGTCCGCAGGCTGCACGTGACACATCCAACCAAATAATGTCACGTTCGGTTATTAGGGACGGCTGGCCTCCGCATACTCTTTATTGAGATCTCAACATCAGAGACACCTGGTGTGAAACAGGTTTCTCCAATTACGATGATGGGCAGTCGTTCAGGGGAAGCCTACTTTTGAATATCGGAGAGTTTGTTGAAAAGACTGAGGTAGCTTTTTTTACAAGCACTTATAAACCATTTCTACCCTATTCGGAGACATTCTGATCAGGGCATGCCTTCGTTCGGTCCGCAGGCTGCACGTGACACATCCAACCAAATAATGTCACGTTCGGTTATTAGGGACGGCTGGCCTCCGCATACTCTTTATTGAGATCTCAACATCAGAGACACCTGGTGTGAAACAGGTTTCTCCAATTACGATGATGGGCAGTCGTTCAGGGGAAGCCTACTTTTGAATATCGGAGAGTTTGTTGAAAAGACTGAGGTAGCTTTTTTTACAAGCACTTATAAACCATTTCTACCCTATTCGGAGGTGAGGAAAAGAGAGATGTGCTACCAGAAGCTGGCAGATTTGGTATCGTTGTAAGGCTTGGAAGGGGCCTCTGAGGCCCGCTAGTTTCCTTCCTGTTCCGGTGATTCCAAGACCTCCTGTGTATCTGCGGGGAGG